AGGTCAAGGCTTCGGTGGCCACAGCACTCCAGCCTGGGCGACAAGAGTGAGACTCCAACTCAAAAAAATCAATTAAATAAAATTTGAATACACTCAATCAGTTTATTTTTATGTATCATGCTTTGGGTGTTATGTGTAAGAACTCTGCCTAACTCTAAGTCATGAGAATTTTTTTCTGTATTTCTTCTAAAAGTTTTATAGATTTGCATTTAGACCAGTGATCCATTTTGAGTTTTGTTTTTTGTCTTTGCTTTTGTTTTTTTGATTTGGGGTCTGGCTGTGCCACCCAGGCATGAGTACAGTGGAACCTCAAACTCCTGGGTTCTAGTGAGCTTCCCACCTTAGCCTTCCACGTAGCTGTGATTTTAAGGACCTGCCACCACACCTGGCTTTTTTTTTTTCTGTAGAGATATGGTTTTATTATGTTACCCAGGCTGCTCTTGAACTCCTGACCTCAAGTGATCCTCCTCCCTTGGCTTCCCTAAATGCTGGAATTACATGCATGATCCACTTAGCTTGACCTATTTTTGTATAAGATGTGAGATTTAGGTTGAGCATTGTAGAATTTTCTGTTTTTCTTTTACTTATGAAGTTTAATTGTTTCAACAGCATGTACTGAAAATACTGTCCTCCTTCTTCCGTTGAATTTCTTTTGCAGCATTGTCAAAAATCAGCTGGGTTAACTTTTTTGGCCTGATTCTGGTCTCTCTGTTGTTCCATTGATTTACATGTCTGTCCCTCCTCCAATACCAAACTGTCTTAATACTGTAACTCTATAGAAAGTCTTAAAATTCAACTTTTCTTCTGTTTCAATATTATTTTAGCTCTTCTATTTCTTTTGCCCTTTCTTTTCTTTTTTTTTTTTTTTTTTTGAGTTGGAGTCTCACTCTGTCGCCCAGACTGGAGTGCAGTGGCCACTCCTGGCCACCGCAGCCTCGACCTGCTGGGCTCCGGCGATCCTTCTGCCTCAGCCTTCCAAGTAACTGGAACTACAGGCGCATGCTACCACACCCAGCTAATTTTTGATTTATTGTAGTGATGAGGTCTCACCAAGTTGCCCTGGTGGGTCTCAAACCCGCGGGCTCAGGCAATCCACTCACCTCAGCCTCCCAAAACATGGGATTACAGGCTGAGCCACGGAGCCTGGCTTCTTTTGCCCTTTCATATAAAAGTTAGAATCAGCTTGCCTGTATCTACCAAAAAAAAAAAAAAAAAAAAAAGCTGTTGGGATTTTGATAGTACTTGTGTTAAATGTATATAGACCAATTTGAGGACAACTGATGTCCTTACTATGTTGAGTCTTCCAATCAGTGAACATCCTATGTCTCACCTTTATTAGGTCTTTGATTTCTTTCATCATTGTTTTATAACTGTAAACATATAGATTCTGTTTTTATTTGAGTTGCACAGCAATGAAAGTATTTTTTTGGAATGATTTTAAATGGTATGACATTTTGTATTTTGAATTTTGCTTCCCAACTGTTTATATTTAGGATATAGAGACATGATTGACTTTTTGTGAGTTGACCTTGTAATCTTCAACTTTGCTGAACTCACTTGCTAGTTTCAGGAGTTTTTGTTTGTTTGTTTGTTTGTCAATATTTCCTGGGATTTTCTACTTAGACAATAGGGACAGTTTACAGTCTTCCTTAACATCGCTATGCCTTTTATTTCCTTTTCTTGCTACTGCACTGGATAAGACTTTCATTGCTATGTTGAATAAGAGTGGTGAGAATGGGCATGCTTACCTTGTTTCTGATTTTGGGAGGAAAGTGCTGAGTCCTTTACCATTAAGTATTATGTGAGTTGTAGGAGTTTTATAGATAATTTGTAAAGATATTTTGTATAATATAATTTGTAAAGATTTGTATAGATAATTTTTATAGATAATTTGTAAAAATAATTTTCCTTCTAAGTTTGCTGAGAACTTTTAATCATAATGGATGCAGATTTTATCAAATGTTTTGTCTGCAACCATCAGTATGATTGTATGGTTTTTCTTTTTTTGATTGTTAATATATGATCAATTACACTGATTGATATTTTTAATATTGAATTAGTGTTGCTTGCCTGGACAAATCTTGCTTGGTTGTGCTGTATTATCCTTTTTATATGTTGCTGAATTCTATTTGCTAATACTTACTGAAAATGTTTGTGTCTATTCATGAGAGAGCTTGGTCTGTAGGCTTCTTTGCTATTCTTTGTTTGATTTTTGTATCCAGGTAATGTTGGCTTCATAAAATGGGTTGGGAAGTATTCCTCGGCCTTCTATTTTATGAAAGTAATTAGGTAGAATTGGTTGTTATTTCTACTTTAAGTGAGTAGATTTCACCAGCAAAGCCGTCTGAGACTAGAGATTTGTTTTTCAAAAGGCTTTTTAACTATGAAGTTAGTTTATTTAGTAGTTATATAGAGTATTCAGGCTATGTACTTCATCTTGCATGAATTTTGGTTGTTTGGGGGTTTTTTTGGAATTAGTCCACTTTGTCTTAGTTGTAGAATTTCTGTGTGTAGAGTTTTTGTAGTATTTTGTTATCTTCATTTCAATGTTCATCATGTATATAGTGATTTTTTTTCTTTAATTTCTGATACTGGTAATTTAGGTCTTCTCTTGTCAGTCTTGCTAGAGGATTATAAATTTTATTGATCTTTGCAATGAATTAACTTTAGGTTTGATTTACTTTCTCTGGTTTTGTTTTCAATGTTTTGATTTCCATTTTTATCTTTATTATTTTCTGACTTCTACTTGTTTTAAGTTTATTTTGCTCCCTCTTTTCTTTTCCTTTCTTTGAGTAAGGCTTTCACACTCTGTTGCCCAGGTTGGAGCACAGTAGCACGATCACTGTAGCTTCAACCTCCTGGGCTCAGGTGATTCTTCTCAGCCTCCCATGTAGCCACAACTACAGGCACGTGCCACCATGCCTGGCTAATTTTTTTATTTTTTGGAGTAGGGTCTCACTATGTTACCTAGGCTGGATTCTCTCCTTTCTAGTGCTTGAGGTGGAAACTTAGATTGTTGATCTGACACTTTTCTTTATTTCTTTCTTTTTAAATTATTTTTTAAAGATGTTGGTTATGATCTTTCTTCTTTTTCTTTTTTCTTTTTTCTTTTTTTTTTGAGTAGGAGTCTCACTCTGTCGCCCAGACTGGAGTGCAGTGGCCGCTCCCGGCCACTGCAGCCTCGACCTGCTGGGCTCCAGCGATCCTTCCGCCTCAGCCTTCCAAGTAGCCGGAATTACAGACATGTGCTACCACGCCCGGCTAATTTTTTATTTATTGTAGAGATGAGGTCTCACCAAGTTGCCCAGGCAGGTCTCAAAACCCTCAGGCTCAGGCAGTCCACTCACCTCAGCCTCCCAAAGGCGCGGGATTACAGGCTGAGTCACCGAGCCTGACTCTTTCTTCTTTTTCAATATGATTATTTAGTGTTACAAATTTCCCTCTAAGCACTGCTTTAGCTATAGTCACAGATTTTTATATATTGTATATTTATTTTCATTTAGTCAATTTAAAAAATTTTTCCTGAGGCTTTTTCTTTGGCTTATGTTGTTTAAAAGTGTTTTGTTTAATATCCAAGTGTTTTGCTTTTTTTTAAATGATATTTTCTATTCTAGTTTGCTCCTGTTACAGTCAGAAACAGTTTTTGTATGATTTCACTTTAACTTGTGAAGATTTGTTTTATGTTCAAGGATATGATCTATTTTTATAAGTGCTTCATGCATGCTTAAATCATGTATATTCAGTTGTTTGGGAGGAGTGTTTTATAAATTTTGTTATAAAACTTTATAAAAGCGTTTTATAGATTTTATTGGTTGATAATGTTGTACAGTTCTTCTTTATTCTTACTGATTTTCTAATGGTCTATCAATGACTGAGGGAGGGGTATTGAAGTCCCTAACACAATTGTGGATTTGTTTCTTTCTCGACTGTCCATTTTTGCTTCATGCGTTTTGAAATTCTCTTGTTTGGTATGTACACATTTAGGATTGCTTTGACTTCTTAGTGGATTGTCCCTTTAATATAATGATGTAATAATGTTCCTCTTTGTTTCTGGTACTTTTCTTTGCTCCAAATTCTACTTTTTTTTTGAGTTGGAGTCTCACTCTATTGCCCAGACTAGAGCGCAGTGGCATGCTCACAGCCACCACAGTTTCAACTTGCTGGGCTCAGGTGATCCTTCTGCTTCAGCCTTCCAAGTAGCTGGAACCACAGGCATGTGCCACCATACCCAGCTAATTTTTTTGATGTATTGTAGAGACGAGGTCTTGCCAAGTTGCCCAGGCTGATCTGGAACCCTTGGGCTCAGGCAGTCCTCTTGCCTCAGCCTCCCAAAGTGCTGGGATTACAGGCGTGAGCCACTGCGCCTGGCTAAAGTCTACTTTGTGTAAATGTGTATTGAGTAACTGAATGTTCTGCAACATAGCACCTGGTTCATAAAGCAGGTCCTCATAAGTATAGGCTAGGTGAATATTTTAGGATAATATATATAAGGTTATGTGTGTATATGTGTGTGTGTGTGTGTGTGTGTGTGTGTGTGTATCTATATACACACGCACACATTTTTTTCCTCTCTAAAAGGTGTTGAGCATATGTAAAAATCTATTTTGTGTAGCTAACACAGAATTGACAGAATTTGATCGAGTTCTGACACAAAATAACATAATTAATATTATCCTGGTTTAAAAAGTAACACTTTATATTTGAATATTATTCTTTGTAATTTTGTGCAGAGTATGGATGCGAAAAACCTGAATGATATAAAAGCTTAAACATATGCATTACTTGCTTTTGCTAATTATAATTTCAGAAATGCCTGGATTAGAGTTAGATACCAGAATATAAAGCCTTTGTTTAAGTAAAATCCAAAATTTAGTTTTAAAAAACTCTTTATCAGTTGTAATTTGACCTAAGATTACCATATAAAATAAATTTTCATTTACACACATATCAGGGATTCTTACTGTGCAATGCTTTTCTCTAGACATTTAATTTTTTTTCAGTTTATTCAAAGAACCAGCTTAATTGGACTCTACAAACTAAACCAGGGGTTTTTGGTGAATACAGAACCATGTGGTTCAAATCCTGCAGGACTTTTTCCTGTTTGAACAGAATGAAAATTTACAGGTGAGTTATTATATGGCACATATTTACATAATTATATGCAAGAGTTGTTTAGTCGATTATTTTTAATAAACCCAGTCAGCATGTAATAGCTCATGTGGTTTGATTAAAGTAGCTTTTACTTATTTAAATGTTAGCTAATTTATTTTTTAATAGTTTTTAAATTTGGAAAGTTTCAAGTGTACAGAAAAGGTGATAGAGTAATACACTATCCAGCCAGTACTTAACCCTCATCTACATTCAGAGATAGCTTTTTTTTTTTTTTTGAGTTGGAGTCTCACTCCTGCGCCCAGACTGGAGTGCAGTGGCCGCTCCCGGCCTCCGCAGCCTCGACCTGCTGGGCTCCGGCGATCCTTCCGCTTCAGCCTTCCGAGTAGCTGGAACTACAGGCGTGCATTACCACGCCCAGCTGATTTTTTTTATTTATTTATTGTAGAAATGAGGTCTCGCCAAGTTGCCAGGCAATTCACTCACCTCAGCCTCCCAAAGCGCGAAATTACAGGCTGAGCCACCGAGCCCAGCTAGCTTTTATTTTTAATATAAAACTATGTTACTTGGAGAAGTATGTTTACTTTCTTATAGCATCTTCATGACAAAATACAATGCAAATCATAAATGTAGCTTATAATACCTACTGCAATGTAAAGAAATTTTAAGATAATTATTTGAGTGCAGCATAAATATGATAAGGTGGGTAAGGTAGTAAGATTGAATCAAAGTAATGTCTTTCTGTGTTTGTACTTTGAAATCCAATTTCTAACCTTGTGAAAAATAATTGCATAGCATTAATTAATGCTTCAGCTCTGTCTTTTAAGTGCTTGCTCCTGCTTCTTGTAAATGAGCTCCTCTGGGGTTGGATGTATATAAAATGATTTTTAGTCAAATGAACAACTGCCTACTTTTATCTGTTGTAAATTAATCCTTGATTACTGAGGCTTTGCATTAAGCTTGGAAAAGGCTTATATATTCCTAAAATAATATTAATATTAAAGAGGAATGACATTTGAATCTTAAAAGAATAAAAAGTAATGAATATAGAATGTACACTCCATATGTAGCTAAGAAAAGCATAATAAAAATATGACTGACATCACCTTTTCTTTTTTTTTTTTTTTTTTGAGTTGGAATCTCACTGTCACCCAGGCTGGAGTGCAGTGACACACTTGCAGCCACCCCAGCGTCGACCTGCTGGGCTCCAGCCACCTCAGCCTTCCAAGTAGCCAGAACTACAGGCGCGTGCTACCATGCCCAGCTAATTTTTGATTTATTGTAGAGATGAGTTCTCGCCAAGTTGCCGGGACTGGTCTCAAACCCATGAGTTCAGGCAATCCACTTGCCTTGGCCTTCCAAAGTGCTGGGATTACAGGCAGAGCCACTGAGCCCAGCCAACATCATCTTTTCTAACTTAACAGCCTTATTATCTTTTACCCAAACAGGCCTTTATGGAAGGATTTTTCTATATTGTACTATGACATGGAACTCAGTGTAGTATTTGTCCAACCCCAGTTTAATCCCTTTGAGTAAACAAAACTTGATTAAACATTTAATTAAACAAAATTTTTAACAAATTATATACTTTTCTGGGCCTTTATCTTCAGATTATTAATTTAATAAATGTTTCCTGAGTACCAACTATGTTTCACCCAACCCCACAATTTACTTAACCTCTCTGAACCTCCTTCTTCTAATCTGTAAAATAGGGATAATAACAGTTCCCCCTTGTAGAGTTATCAGAAGTATTAAATGAGACGAAATATGTGGAGTTCTTAAACAGTATTTGGCATTTAGGAAGTGCTCAATAAATGGTAGCCATTATTATTATTAGTTGTAACCCAGAGGCCAAGTTTTATAAAGTTCTGCTTTGTATCAAAACGTACTTGGAAAACAAATTAATTTTGTTTTATCTGTGAATATATATATTTATAAGTAGTTTTGTAAGAAAACTTAGTTTTAAGACATCAAAATTGAGCAATATATATGTATTTTATATGTATTTAGAGTCCAGTAAATTGTAAATAAGAATATCTTTCTACATAATAGATCCCATGTTACATTTTTTTTTAAAACAGCTATGTTTGTCTGGCTCTTTGTTTACACCTCTTAGGTACCTCTGGACGAGACTATACAGTACTTCACAAACCACAGTTGACAGCAGTGAGGTCAAAACCTTCCTGGCCCTGGCTCACAAGTGGTGGGACGAGCAAGGAGTGTATGCTCCTCTTCATTCCATGAATGACCTGAGGGTACCATTTATTAGGTAACATTCCAGAAACTCTGAGTCTCTTAAAATGCAGTTTTTTAAAAAAAAATTCATCTTCTTTTACATTCATTTTTCTCTTGGTTTATACCTAGATAGTTTCAAGATGCTGCATTTTAAGTTTGCTTTGAGAACTAGGGAGATTCTCTTCAATGTCCACTTTTGAAATCATTAATTTTTAAATTTAATTTTTTTTTACTATTCCTAATGAGATTTTTTTTTAATTATAAAGATGTGGGGTGCAATTCAGGGTTAGGTATATAAACATTGATTATGCAGGTACCCTTGTCGTTTTTATTTTAGATTCAAGGGATACACGCCAGAGTCTGCATGTTCATTACCTGAGTGTTCTTGTTTTTTTTTTTTGAGTTGAAGTCTCACTCCGTCGCCCAGACTGGAGTGCAGTGGCCGCTCCTGGCCACCGCAGCCTCAACCTACTGGGCTCCGGCGATCCTTCCGCCTCAGCCTTCCTAGTAGCCGGAATTACAGGCATGCGCTACCACGCCCGGCTGATTTTTTGATTTATTGTAGAGATGAGGTCTCGCCTGCCTAGGCGGGTCTCGAACCCGCGGGCTCAGGCAATCCACTCACCTCAGCCTCCCAAAGGCGCAGGATTACAGGCTGAGCCACCGAGCCCGGCTACCTGAGTGTTCTTAACATGGACATATTGTGTAGTGAGGGACTGCATCTCAGGTTTTCCATTCTCTAGGTGGTGCTCATTGTACCCATAGGTAGTTTCTGAACCCCGCCCCCTTCCCTTCCTCCCCCCTTGTTGGTGTTCGCAGTATCTATTATTTCCACCTTTGTGACCATTTAGATTCCATATGTGAGTGAAAACATGCTGTGTTTGATTTCCTGAGAAACTATTAATTTTTAAAAATATCACCCATCACTTAACTTGAAGCATATTTGGACATCATGTTAAGCAGAATTAAATCCTTATGAAAGGAAACGAGGGTCCTATGGTATTGAGGCCATTTTATAGCTACTGACCTGCCATGTGGCCTTATTGACTTTAGGCAGTTTGGGTAAAGGAAATGCTGCTGAGAAAGTTTGATTCAACAGATATTTTTTGAGAATTCATCTTATACAGAGCTTAGGGCCTAGACTGTAAAAGATATTAAGATGAATGAAATATAATATAATCCATGTGCTTCAGGAACTTATAGGTGACTGTGGGAGAAAAAGAAAGGTAAGAGTTCATCAGGGCTTACATTTAAGGCATTGTTCATTTGTTCTTCTGTCCATTTATTTATTCATCAGACATTTTTGAGCAGCCAGTATAGGCAAGGCACTGTGATAGATGCAGAATATCAGACTCAGACTCCGCCCTCATGAAATTTCTTGATTGGTTTTTGTGAGTCATCCAGAATCATTGCAGCAAAAAGAGAAATATTGGCATCTTTTTATTACCATGACTTTGTGGATCACTGAAACACTAAGGCAAAGAAAAGCAGGAATGCCTTTCTAGTAGGCTGGAACACTGGTTCTCCATAAAATGTGGGCCTTGAGCTGGTGACATCAGTATCACCTGGGAACTCATTAGAAACATAAATGATCAGGTCTCATCTAAGACCTACAGCTCTGGAGGGGGGTCAGCAATCTTTTAGCAAACCTTCCAGGTGACTCTGATGCATATTAAGTTTGAGGATTACTGTGACATCTTTAGACATCTTGTAAAATAGATAATTCAGGGCAGTACTAGCTATGGTTAAAAGCTCAGATTTTATTTTGAGCAGAATTGGAAGTCATTGAAGGGGAATTGACATGACCTAAATTATGATATAAAAGTGTCTTTTTGGAAAATGCATTGGACTTCATTGTTTCCTTACTGTATATTAGAACATTCCAAAGTGATCTAGTTAACCACTATCCATGTTATTCTTAGAATTCATGTAATTTAATAGCAATAGAAGATATTCTAAGCTGCCTTCAATTATTAAAGTAAAATTAAATGTATATCAAGGATTCCAAAAAAATGTATACATATATATGCATTACTTTTCGAAGCTGAATTAAGTTACAGTAGCAATGTGTAGTGTGACATTCATGCAAAAGATGGCATTAATCAAATGTATGCTAGTGTCACCATGTAGCAGGCAGGATAGTCAAAGAAAATGCTGGAAGCATGACTGTCATTGGAGGAGCACAAGACCATTTTGAAATGGTATTTGAAATTCAAGAACGTTGTGGAAGTACAATGACAATGGAGACCTGAGTCTGCAGCAGAAATTCCAACACGCCTAACAATTGCACGCATTCGTAATAAGTTTGAGACTCATGGTTCTGTGTGTGATATGGGAAGATCTGGGAGGCCTCGCACAGCAACAAGTCCTGCTTCTTCTGCTATGGTGTTGGAACAGTTTACACACTTGCCACAGATGTCTACCAAACATGGTCAAGAGTACCTAGACATGCTACATACATCCATTTTATTTGCAATTCATACACTTTTTGGGAATGAATGATTTTAACAAGATGGCACCCCTCTGCATTTCCATTGAGATGTGAGAACTTCCCTCAATGAGAATTTGCTAGGACAACGGGGCAGGATAAAGAGATGTGGCTGAGTTTCTCCCACGTTCTCCTGACTTAGCACCCTTGACTTCTACCTGTGGAGAGCCTTAAAGGATGTGGTGTACCATAGACAACTGGCTACACTGGCGGTATTTCAGGAAGAGACTAAAATGGCATGAGTAGCAATACAGGTGACATTTGGGTCAACGTTGCTCAAGTGGTAGTTCGCTGTAATCAGAAGTGTCTGGATGCTGATGGTAACCGCTCTGAGCACCTCTTATAATAGCAGAAGTCAAACATGACTTGTATTCATCTTTTGTTATTGGTATATGTTGAGTATTACAATTTTTGTACAGTTTTTCCTTTCTTAAAATGTGTATACTTTTTTTTGGCACTCTTGTATATATAAAGCTCAGTTTGAACGTTTAGTTTGCAACATTGTTGGGTGTATACATACCTGTGTATGTATGTATGTTTGTGTGGTAAAGTATTACTATGATGATCTTAGAATGAAGTTTACTTGATTTAGATGCTTATTTACATGCTCATACATGAAAATACCACTTAGAGAACTAAAAGAGATTCAATTTAGAAGGGAATATAAGCAAATTCTGAGACTATAAGTCTCCCGTCTTCTTTTTCTAAGCCCTGTAAAATAGCATATTTCTTGCTGACAAGAAATGGATCTAGTGAATATTGACAACATAGCTAACAGATGTCTCAGGTGACATGACAAAAAAAATTAGGTTAATCTAAACTCAATTATTTTGAAATATTTTCTTTATATTATGACTAGAGCAATAATTAAATCATAGTTACTACTAGATTCTTTCATATCTTTACTCTAAGCCTCCTGTTTTTTATTATTGTAAATGTTTATAAATTAATTGTCATTTAATGCTGAAAATAAAAGATTTGTTATCCAAAAATACCAATAATCCATTTAAAATGGAGTTGAGAGTTCCTTGAAAATTATATACTTTAAAATTTTTACATTGATATAAGTTAATCATTTTTTTATGTGTTGAATTTTTTTTAAAAAGAGACAATCTTTTGAAAACAGTTCCTAATCACCAGCTGGGAAAACCTTTGTCTGGGATGAGGATTCTTGATGTTGGCTGTGGTGGTGGACTGTTAGCTGAAGTAAGTGACTGACAGCTTTCCTGCTATTTTTAACTGGGGAATAAATTAAGAAATGGGCTTGTGTCTCATTTATTCTTTCAACAAATAATATTCACTAAAAAAAGGAATGCAAATGTTGATTTTAATCTTTTTGTGATTATAAAAGTAACACATGCTTTTTATTTTTTTTTAATCTAAAAAAATTTAGAAAATTATACTGATGGATAAAAATAAATATGGGGCCTGTGTCATTGGAAAATTCTGTGATCTCTTCTGTTTGAAGAAATTAGACAGTTTCCACTGGTGGAAACACATGGATAGGCTGTCCTTTCTCACTGGTTTCAATAACAGAACCTAACAGTTTTGCTGAATTGTGGGGCACTTCCTTTCTTAAGTGCTAAGTACTTGGAAGAGTAGTCATCCTTCCTGTGAAGAGTATTTGCTTTAGCCTAAATGCCTTGTAGCTCTATGTAATACTCTTCTGTCACCACAGGAACTTTTGTTTCAATGATGCACCATAATTTGATCTTTGAAAGATGTTTGAAACAACAGTATGGGATCCAAATGCAAGCTAAGATTCAGTGGGATGTGGCACTGTCATGGTACTCAATTCAGCCAAGTTGATGGGGGGTTAACAGAGGTCTTTGATGCACAGCTAAGTTCTCACATGCACAAAAAACTAGTCCTGGCAGTGGGCTAGTTTCTCTTGACATCAATTATAAAATTTCAGGAAACTTAAAATATATGTAAATACGGATTGCCTGAGCCCGCGGGTTCGAGACCCACCTGGGCAGCGAGACCTCATCTCTACAATAAATCAAGAAATCAGCCGGGCGTGGTAGCGCATGCCTGTAATTCTGGCTACTTAGAAGGCTGAGGCAGAAGGATCGCCGGAGCCCAGCAGGTCGAGGCTACGGTGGCCGGGAGCGGCCACTGCACTCCAGTCTGGGCGACAGAGTGAGACTCCGACTCAAAAAAAAAACGTATATATGCAAATACATCCCTTTGAATCAAGAATATCTGGTGTGCAATTGTGAATGAGTTAAGATTTTACTATGTGTGCCCTGTAATCTGCTCAGTGTATTATTGCAGATCTTATGTCTTCAAAGTTAAAATAATGTGATTTATACCTTTAGTTTATTAACTAACATAATATAAATACTATGCAACTTTTGATTAAAATTACGCCTGTATTTGAAAACTTGGACATGTCATGGGAAGTAACTGAATATACGTAAAAGCTTAGAAGAAAAGCTATGAAGAATCATTTCTAGTCAGTCATGGAAAAAAACTGTGGAGAAAAAATTGTTCTTTATAAAATTGGAATATTTCAGAAATGATTGCTGTGGTTTTTTGTTGTTTTTGTTTTTCTTTTCTTTTTTTTTGAGTCAAAGTTTTACTCTGTTGCTGGGCTCAGGTTATCCTTCCTCCTCAGCCTTTCAAGTGGAACTACAGGTGTGCACTACCACACCCAACTAATTTTTTGATTTATTGTAGAGACGAGCTCTCACCAAGTCTCCCAGGCTGGTCTCGAACCCCTGGACTCAGGCATCCTCTGGCCTTTGCCTCCCAAAGTGCTGGGATTACAGGCATGAGTCACTGCACCCCACTGATTGCTGTGTTTCTAATGACATGTTTTTTTTTGAGTCAAAGTCGCACTCTGTTGCCCAGACTGGAGTGCAGTGGCACACTCATGACCACCGCAGCCTCAACTTGCTGGGCTCAGGCAATCTTTCTGCCTCAGCCTTCCAAGTTGCTGGAACTACAGGCGCGCACTACCATGCCTGGCTTATTTTTTGATTTATTGCAGAGACAAGGCCTCACCAAGTTGCCCGGGCTGGTCTCGAACCTCTGAGCTCAGGCAATCCTCTTGCCTCAGCCTCTATTGTACTTTAAATATGTTAACGTTGCACTACATGCAAGTAAATATACCAAGAGTACAGAGACAAAAATGTTTTACTATTCTTAAGTGGTTCTCGATAAGTTTTTTGTTGTTTGGATTGTTATTCTCACTTTTAAGCTTCCAATTATGGAAAAATTCAAATGTATACAGACTAGAGAAGATATCATATGAATTTCTGTGTACCTGCAAATGAGCTCTGGTAATTACCACATCGTGGTTAATCATCTTTCAATTTTTATAAGCTTTTTATTGCTTACATATGTTCTGTTTTGTTACTGAGAGTAACTTTTTTTATGCCATTAGCCTCTAGGGCGGCTTGGGGCTTCAGTTCTTGGACTTGATCCTGTGACTGAGAACATTAAAACAGCACAGTGCCATAAATCATTTGATCCAGTCCTGGATAAGAGGATAGAGTACAGAGCATGTTCCCTGGAAGAGATTGTAGAAGAGACTGCAGAAACATTTGATGCCGTTGTAGCTTCTGAAGTTGTGGAACATGTAACTGATCTAGAAACATTTTTACAGTGCTGCTGTCAAGTGTTGAAAGTAAGACTTATGGAGTTTTTATCTTGGTTTTTTCTTCTGAGTGTGTGTATGTATCCACAGCAATAAAATGTCCCATAATACTTAAGCAGCTCAGCAGGCCAAGTATAGTACAGAAGGAACTGTGAAGCCAGCATTAGGGGACAGCATCTCTGCTGGAGATTTCTTCTACCCCTCAGCTTGCCCTCAATGCCAGGATTTTCCAATGCCCTATTAGTGCCCTGATATCCAGGAATCTTGAAAAATGTCAATGCTGAACATTGGCTGGACATTTATAGCTGTATTTTCCCATTGGTATGGTCTGGAATAAATATCTAACAGATAGTGAATGACAATTACCAAGAAATTGATTTGGATTAATACTTAAAAATCAATAAAAATAATTATTAGTATGAATTTATTTAAGTATCTGATACATATGTGTAAAACAGTTTTCAGCTTATGAAAGAGAACTTGATACATATGATATCACTTGATCGTACCTACAACTAGGTAAAGAAGTAAAGGTAGGTATTGTTCTCACCTCCTTTGACCTATGAAAACTCAGGATTTGTGAGATGTCAAAGGTCACTAGACACTTAAGTGGGGCTGTTTCTTCCCATTACTTACTATGCGTTTATATTAATAGTATAATTTGCCACAGACTTAGTCCTTTGAATGTGGCTCTAAATTTTCTTTCAACTAATATCCCTAAAGTATCATTATCATTATTACTACAAGATTGACTCTATCATTTACATATTCAAGGTGCCACCCTAAGGTCAGAAGTGAGAAGAAATGCCTAGCTCTTACATAAATAGAGCTTTTAAAAATCGTCTTTTAAAAAAACTTTATTTTTTAAGTTATCTTGAATGTATGGAAGTGTTTACAAAGATAGTCCAGTGTTCCTTTTGCCCATTTTACCCTTGTGTTAATGTCTCACATGTAAAGTTCGGTATTAGAATGGGTCACACGAGAAGTCTAGCAACCACAATGGAAGGAGACACTCCCTCTCAGTTGCTGCCCTGTGCTTACACGCCTGAAGGGGTTGCCAACTTCATGTCTGCACCGTAGGAGCCTCACTGGCCTCCTTATAGTACTAACCCTGTGTATAACCCACGGTACAGTTCTCAAGACTAAGAAATCAACATTGGCATTTTACTTAGTAACTGCACTACAAAACTTGTTAAGTTTCATTACTTTTTTTGCTAATGTCATTCTTCTGTTACAAGATCCATTCCAGGCTCCTACATGTGTTTAGTTGCCATGTCTCCTAGTCTTCTTCAATCTGTGACAATTTCTTGGTGTTCCCTCTTTTTTTTTTTTTTCCCAAAGCTAAGTAGAACTCTATGGTAGGTCCCTATGCTTGGTGTTTCCTCTTAAATGGGCTTTATTAAGCGTATCTCTTATTTTCCAAGTGAAACCTCTTAATTATTAATGTTTGTGCTATGTGTCAGTCAATATGTATCATTGGGATTCTTTGACACACGTGAGGAACGCTAGCATTGTGGGTTTTAAAGCCAAGTCCTACTTTCATGGAAATCCTATATTTTAAAAGGTGACTATTGCTTACTGCCGTTTCCTTAGAGTATAATTTTGTAGAACACAGATTAGATATTCACAAGTGATTCTTTAGATATTTTAGAATAGTAGAGTTTTACAGAGAAGAACTAATGTGTGATGATATAGTATGTGATTTTTTGTTTTTAATTTCAGAGCTCACTCCAATATTTCAGGAATTCCATTTGTCTTTTGTGTTTTTTGGTTCAGGCTAGTATTTGAATTATATTACCTTCCTCCCTCCCCCTCCCCTTTCTTTCTCTCTTCCATATGTCAATAGCAGTATGAGTATTTTAGAGGGAATCTTTGGCATTTTACCACCAATAAGCTAATGATAATATATCAAAGAAGGAAGGAGCATAAATGTTCTTGTCATATATGAGACTAAACATAGGAAGCTCCATAAATAAATTAGTCACTAAAAAATGGTAGACTGAACAATCTCATAAATGTTTTGTACTCATCTCAGTGCTTATCTTGATCTCTTTATATTCTTTATGCAAATGAAGTCAAAACAAAACAAAAGACATTCAAACCTTAATCACAAATGCTTTTATCAAAGAACACTTACTGGCAGGGCTCCCCTGCACAAAGTGAGTAGCCCTGTGCTGTGCCAAACAATTTAGTCCTGCACGGCACTTAAAGCCGTGTTGACATATGTTAAAATGTGAATATAGACATGAAACAAGGAAGAGCGGCCTGTTCTCATTTCAATGTTAACATATTTGATATGTCCAAAAGAATATGTATAATATAAATATAAATCACAATCAGGTGTGATTTTAAGAGTTAGTTGTAAATACTGTTGTATAAACTTAGTGATGCATCAAAAATGCCTTTCATGGTAAATTTTCCAAGATAAAAAAATTCTGTTTTGGTAAATTATATTTTATTACATTTTATTTATACTCCTATATCTCAACTGTACTAAATTATTTGGAAGAAAAGAGGAGGGAGGAGTAAGCTAAGCCCTTACTGAACTGATATACCTAATCTTTTAAGTTTTACTTCTGTATAATCTTAATTTTAAAAATTTTACTTCTTTTAGCCCGGTGGCTCTTTATTCATTACTACAATCAACAAAACCCAACTGTCCTATGCCTTGGGAATTGTTTTTTCAGAACAAATTGCAGGTATCGTACCAAAAGGTACTCATACATGGGAGAAGTTTGTTTCACCCGAAAATCTAGAGAGCATTCTGGAATCAAGTAAGTATTAAGAGCCATTTTTACCATTTTCAAAGCCTAACTGAACTTTTAATGCACCTGTAATTACTAATCATATAACCCTGCACTTAATTAACAGGCCATCTTTGCGGGGGGGGGGTTGGTTTTATCTGCTCAACTAGGTCAAAGTCAAAAAACAACAGGTCACCAACTCCTGGAGGTTAGAGTTGAGCAGTAACTGCCACTCCTCTCTCACCTGTGGCACCTAACCCTGGGCCAAGCAGGCAACAGGTGATCAGTGAATACTTTTTGGCCCTTTGGTCCTTGTTTGTTTAAGGATGAGGCACAAATGTCTGTTATTTACATGGCTTCAATTTGCCCTAATGAGCCCTGTCTGTGTCAGTTTATCTTACTTATTATTTTTTTCTGACTCCTCCATATTCAGATCTACTTTGAACTTCTATGTTATTTTTTATGTATTTACAATATTGGTTATTTTGGTGTTTTTTTTTTCCCACCCTCTTATGACCTGGAAGGCAAGAATGTGTTTCCTTTCTGTATTCACTGTATTCACTATACTGTCCAGCTCTGCTTTACACATAGTAAGCACTCAGTTTATGTGTTTAATTCCTGTCAAGTAATAGTATCTGTCAGTCACCCTGCAGGGTACTTAAACACCTGTATTTCTCATGCTTTTTCATATAACATTCTATCAATGAACTTTATTTTACATGGAATAGTATCAGTCTGTAGCAATGTAGTACATTATAAAGATTTCTGCAAATAGATTTGTTGAAAATAGAGTAGGAAAAAAAATCTCAAAAGATGTTTTATGGGGATCTCTTATTGGCAGGCATTTTCTAATAACAGCTGACGTTTATTGAGTACTTTCCAAATTCCAAGCACTGTGTCACTTTACACCCCTAGCTCGTCTGATTCTAACAGCTCTGTGATATATGGTCTGTACATGTAAGACAACTGAGATTTAGAAAGGTTAAGTGACCTGCACACTGACACCATCTAATAAGTGCCAGAGCTGGGATTTGAACCCAAGCAGTCTGCTTCAGAGTGTCTGTTTTAGTCTGTTGTAAGGTATGATCTCTACATGATTACAGAGTATTTTTGCCACTTAAGTTATGGAACGTTGCAGGAGACTCTTGGCACTTGGAAGGTAAATGTTTATTAAATCTACTCTTTCTGATTTTTTTTTTCCAGATGGTCTGTCAGTTCAAACTGTGACAGGGATGCTCTATAACCCATTCTCAGGCTACTGGCATTGGAGTGAAAATACCAGCCTTAACTATGCAGCTCATGCCATGAAATCCAGGGTACAAGAACACCCAGTGTCTGCTGAGCCTGTTTCAAAAGGGGAACCAGAAGACCTCCGAGCTAATGCCTGCCCCAACCCGGTTGTGCATGAAGAGCCGAAGAAATGAATTGCTTCTGAGGGTGGAGTAATAAGACTTGAGAGTCTGATGTATACAAATATAAAACATACACAATTTATCCTTAGAATCGTGAAAAAAAGGCCAATAAAAACGGCTAAAAACCTTGGACAAAGTTTTTATATTTTATCTAATAGCTATTTTCAAGACCTTCTGTGGATAAACAGTTTTGTCGAGATATTTTGTGTGATCTAGGTACTTAAGTCCCTCAGCCTTTGATGTATGAGTAGGGTATACATATTTGTTTCATCTCACAAAACAGATTTTTTCCCTTATGTATTTGCATACTTGTATGGTGTAATGTATTTTAATTTAAAGGAATCTATATCATCTATATTTTTCTTTATTTGGTTTTAGTTAAAGGCAGTTGTGCCTTTGACTAATAAAAACCACATAAAGTATGTATGTGTGCAGGTGTCTTTTTGGTAGAGTGATTTATGTTCCTCTGGGTATATTCCCAGAAGTGGAAATTGCTGGATCATATGGAAGCTCATCTGTAGTTCTTTGAGAAAACGTCACACTGCCTTCCATAAAAGCTGAGCTAGCTTACATTCCCACCAACAGCATAGAAGCATTCCCTCTTCTCTGCAGCCATCGCCAACACCTGTTGTTTTTTGACTTTTTAATAAATATGCTGGATTTTAATACAGAACTGTTTATTACAGGTCTTTTGCATTATTTTAAACTTTACATTTTAAGATAATTTCAAAAGTAATTTCAGACTTAGAAAAAATGTGCAAAAGGAATACAAAGGGTTTTCATATACCCTTTACTCAGCTTTCCCAAATGTTAACATCTTTTATTTTTTGATTTGGAGTCTCACTCGGTCTTCCTGGCTGGAGTGCAGTGTCATCCTCACGGCTACCCCAACATCAACCTGCTGGACTCTGGCAATCCTTCTGCCTCAGTCTTCCAAGCAGCTGAAACTACAGGCATGTGCTACCACGCCCAGCTAATTTTTTGATATATTGTAGAGACAAGGACTCACCAAATTGCCTAGGCTGGTCTCGAACCCTTGGACTCAGGCAATCCTCTCACCTTGGCCTCCCAAAGTGCTGAGATTACAGGCTTGAGCCACTGCGCCCAGCCCAGAACTTTTAGTTTCTGAAATTGTGTCCCTGCTTGTGTAGAAACACAAGGTAAATGTAGCAAAATATGAAGTCAGTGAGTCCTGGTGAGGACACACAGGACACTATTTCTTCAACTTTTCTATGAATTTGAAAGTTTCAAAATCAAATGTTAGCAGAAAATGTTAATGAAATTGTGGTTCTGAGTTGGCCTAGAAAACAAATCCTGCCTGAATTAATGTGCAATTATGACTCCTGTTGCTTTTTAAAAAAATTTATGAGTAGCTTTTGCCACTTACTGTCATCCTTTGGGGTTGTGGAGTGCCAGGCTTTGTGCTAAATGCTATGCCTGTGCAATGTCATCTTATCCTCACAACAGCCCAGTGTGGGAGGGACTATAGCTTGCTCCATTCACAGAGATGTTGAGTAACATGTTCAGCATTACAAAACTAGTAAGACAGAGCCAAGATCTGAACTCAGTCTGATGCCTTAGCCCCTGCCCTTCACCATTTTTATACTGAGTGTTCATGCCATCATATATGGTCCCAGTAGTAGCATAGCTCCATACAGCTGGATTATTATCACACATTGGGATTGTCTGTATACAAGGCAGCATCTTCAAAAGCATTTAAACAGAGCTTCAGGAAGTTAATCTGGGCTATTGCCTCGATTCTCTTAAAGCTTCATTGTCCTACTATGATTAAAACAACTATACACTACTTAATTGTAACTTCATAAAATGTTTTGAAGACCCTATATAAAATTACATCCTTTCTACATTATAGTTAGATGTTTTACTATTGTATTAATGATAAATTGAAGAAAAGCATTGAGTTAAAACAGCACACATCAAAAATAGTTTAGTCAAGCAAAAAAGTCAAATTTTTGGACACTATTTGAAATATCCCTTTGATGTATGCCTGGAACACTCAAGAAGGCTTCTGTGTTACTGTTCACCTGAAATATATAATGTTAAGAAGCATCAGAGATTTAGAGACTGTTCAGCAATCAGACACAAGTTCAAGTTATGATTATCAGTAATATTTTTAAAACCTGAACTGATGAGGTTCCCACAATTCCATCCAACATATTTGCATCATTAAAGGCCGTATAAGCAGGTCTGAAAAGCTAAGAAAATGTCAGTGTAGAATAAAGATGGAAGCAAGGACAAATAAAAATATTAGTACAGCCATGCATGGTGGCTCATATCTATAATTCCAGCACTTTGGGAGGCCAAGGTGGGAGGATTGCTTGAGGCCAGGAGTTCAAGACCAGCCTGGGCAACATAGTGAAACCCCATCTCTACAAAAAAATGGAAAAAAAGAAAAGTGTTTGTACTACCAACATGTAATTGCATTTATTAACTTACAATGCTACTCTATTAGAAGGGAGATTCTTACTTGACAATTATTAATGGGATGCAAATGGCACGCAAGCCTTTTCTGTATCAAAACATGCTGCACAACTTACACGAACATTAAGCCAAAAAAAAAAAAAAAAAGAAAAGAAAAAACTGATTGTGAGATCAATACACCTCTTGTATCCCAGTGAGAAAAGGATACAACACATATAAAGAACTACTGTCTAGGAAATACGAGGCACCAGCTGGACCCGAAGAAAGAAATACGTCCTCAAGAAGATGCGGTGGCAGAGCTGAGAATGGGGGTGGAAAGTTAAAAGGTAAATATGGACACCAGATGTTTCCACTTTAGCTAGATTTGAATCTTTGTTTCTCATTGAGGAGCAGGAAATAATGGATGCAGAACTCACTGACGTAAGATCCCCCTTTCTTTCTTGATTTTAAACAACCTTGATATGCTCCTTGGATGACACCTTTCTTTGAAAGCAATCAGTTCAGACCCAGGTCACTGGGGCTCCAGGGACCTGCTGGGGCTGATGTGTGTGCCATTCCTGTGGTCTGACAAGGATCTCTGCTGTCCCTGGTCATTACATGTACACACCCCATACTGATGCTTTCCCAGAATCTCTCAAGAGTGCTTCTTGAATATGCCTTGCCCAAATCCCACATATCTACACTTTTCTGCAGCAAGCTCTATAAGGTCCATTTCATGATGTCCCAACCACCCTACCTTCTCAAGTCCTCATAGCGGTCCCCTTTACTTCCTACCTTAACTGAAACCTGGCTCTCCTCTCGGGAGACTATTTCATCTGGAACCATTTTGAGAGGAAGTTTCATATTTTCTTTGAACCTCAGAGTCGGGAGATGGAGTTTGTGTCCATTTGGTAAAAGCTCATGCTTCTCCAAGTTTCAGGTCTAGTTCTTCCAACCTCTACTCCTTCTCTGTTGCAAACCCTCATTTCCAGTCACTCCCCTTAATCACAGAGTCTTTTTTCTTCTTCCCCTCCCTAAGTCTTCCCATATTCCTTAGTAACTCCAATGTCCTCGTGGAAGGTCTGTGGCCTACCTTGTCCCTCGAGGCTTCTACCTCATAGTCACACGTGACAAAGGCTCTCTCCTTAACCAAATTTTCATCAGGTTCCTCTAAGCCATCTTCTCAATGAGGTCTCAACCTTTGGACATCTGTGTCCATGTTTGCTTCGCCCAATTTTAGCAAGAAACCTGTTAAGTCAGTTTAGCCAGATTCCTTTCTCCTTGATATTTAATCACCCTCAATATCTGACCAAATGTCTCATCCTTCAGATGGTATCTGGTCACCCTGGCCTACTTTCACCAAGGATCCTGTTAGGTCAGTTTAGCCTCCTAGCCGTGATGTCTTCTCTTAATACATTTCCATATGTAGCCATCGCCCCCTTCTCACCCTGCTTCTTGGTTGTAAATCCCTACTTTTCCTTGCTCAGAGTTGAGTTCAGTCTTTCTTTCCTACTGCAAAACACCATGGCAATACTTCCTTGAATAAAGTCTTCCTGAAGGCCTTGAACAAATATCAAAATGTTTTTTTCTTTAAAACACCCCAGCACTTGAGGAATCATGTAAGAACATTGAAATCATGAATTTGAACATCCCATTCAGAGAATAAATCCTCTCCAAAGCTATAGTAGAAAACCAAGAAGACAGCGGGTGTGGCGGCTCATGCCTGTAATTCCAGCATTTTGGGAGGCCTATGCAAGAGGACTGCTTGAGCCCAGAAGTTCGAGACTAGCCTCAGTAACATAGTAAGACTTCATCTCTACAAAAAAAAAAAATTTTTTTTTAAAAATTTTCCAGGTGTGGTAGTGCATGCCTGTAGTCCCAGCTACTTGGGAGGCTGAGGCAAAAGGATCACCTGAGCCCAGGAGGTCAAGGCTGTGGTGAGTTGTGATAGATGAAAAAAATAAAAAATCGAAACCAAACAAGCTGGGGAAAAAAAGTCAAGTTAAAAAACGAACATTTCAGAACTAGACATAATGGGCTGTGCTTGTAATTCTAGCTACTTGGAAGGCTGAAGTGGGAGGATCACTTGAACCCAGGAGTTTAAGTCCACCTTGGGCAACACAGTGAGGCCTTCTCTTAAATCAATTAAAAAAACAAAAAAAACCAAACATATCACAGAAAAGTCAGTATAAATGCATCTTTCTTTTAAAAATGCACTCAACCTCACACATAATAAGAGAAGTATAAATTTAAAAACCAAAACATTTAAAATGTCGTGTGTGATAAGGGTATGTATGAGGGCACAGACATTTTTGCCACTATAGAGAGGAATATTTTTCAAGTCTATCACTTGAATGTGCTCACTAACTGAGGTCAGTAGTGTCTGCCCTGCTGGTTAACTTCATTTTACTTGACTTTTTGGAAGCATATGACACTATTGATACTACCCCAAACTTCCTTGAAACTCCCTTGACTTTTGCAGCTCTGATACCTTCTCAGTTTCCCACCTAGGCGCTCTTCCTTTGCCTATCCTCTAAATGTGGTATCTCAGGGCTCTGTCCTCTGTCCTCGAAAACGAATCCATTGCCCAGACTCCAACTGTCTGAACCTCTTCTCAGAATCTACTTTCTCAATTGCCTCTCACCCATCTGGGCCTGGTTATTATTTGCAAATGTTTTCTCAGCATCAGGACGTGAGATCTGAATGCTGCATAATGATTTATAAAATGCTCAAGTCCAGTGGATCAGAAAATATAAAGGCAAAGCTGCCTTATGGTGACAGATGGCTTCGGGCTATAATGTTGGTTAGAATTCAGGATCCACTATCCTAGGCAGGTAGGGTAGTATTGGGTCTCTTCCACAAATCAAGCCAAGAAAATAGAAGCTTTATGGTAAAATTTAGAGTAACATTATCGCCTCTGACCTTGCTGTCCTTTGTTTGAGCAAAATGACAAAGCCCTGGGACCAGTTGTCATGGCAAGGCTACAGACTCATGTGACACAAGGTGTAACAACATCTGCATAAGAAACTGTCTGAAGCCACCTTTCTTAAAGGTGATGGTACAGCCAATGGGTATTTGAGGCATTCAATGATGACTTATAGTCATTCATAATTAAAACTGAGCCACAGACTGAGCGTGTAAGGAAGGAATACCATGGACAGCGCTCCAGCTCTCACACTGTGCTTCATGTGAGACAAGGCAGGTGGTGGAAGAGCCCACAGGGCCCCTGATATGAGATACGCTTGGGTTTGAATCCTGGCTCCATCATAACCTAGCTCTGGGAATTGAACTTATTAATTGACTCCCCTGGGCCTGTTTCCTTCACTTGTAAACTTGGAAGGACAATACTTATCTAGATTGCTTTGAAAAGTTACTGAAAAAAATCACTAGACTAACCTAGTGTTCAGTCAATATTAGTGCCTTATTTTCTTGACTTCCTACACTCAAAGTTAGTTTTGGTTTTTTTTTTTTAGTTGGAGTCTCACCCTGTCGCCCAGACTGGAGTGCAGTGGCCACTCCCGGCCACCGCAGCCTC